CTGTATTTGCATTGTCTCTTGGAGTTCTTTGGGCTGAACCTGACATAAAGTGCTTTATACCTCTGTCTAGAGTTAGGCAGCATGTAGCCCTAGGGCCATTTGTGATCCCATATTCCTTTTTTTTTATAGCCTCCCAAGCTCAACTGAGGTCACCAGCAACTTTCAGTGGCTCAGCTGCAGAAAATCAGTGATATAGAGTCATATAATTTTAAAGAGAAAAAAATGAAATCTGTTCTACAGTGCTACAATACTTTTAGCATACTTTCAATATAGCAAAAAATCTCTACACCTAGAAGAAACAGGACTAAAAAGGAATATTCTGACCTTTCCCACTTTGCAGCAATATTCTGCTTGCTGTAGCGCTCAGTTCCTTAAAGTTAGTACTCTGTTACTAAAAGGTTATCTATCCCTGCTCTGGGCAGTATATAATATTTCTGTTTCAGCCAGACTGACTTTCACTGGGGTGTATTCTTTCAACAATTAGAAGAAAATAGACAATTCCTAGACATAATACTATCATTGTAGTAGTAGAGCACTGCTTCTGAATTACTGCTACAGAAGTGAAATACGTTTTAAAAAGATATGATTTAAAATGTTGGAGGAAAATGATGAAATGTTAAATTTAACTGATTCTTCTAGGTTTCCCTGCTTAATTATATTATATATTCTAGTTCAGGAACATTGACTATTAATCAAAATAAGTAAAAATGAATTTGTTTAATAATTGACATTACAAGAGTTTTGTACAGAATCAAAGTAGTGGATGTGAAATAGATTTACAACAGTGGGTAAAATCAGAGTCCCTGAGAGTATATGTGTTTGTAATATTGGGAACAGTAGAATTAGAATTTCCCTAAAAGAATTGCTTGTGTTTCCTTGTCCTGATTTTTTTACTGTGTCTGCATTTGCAAACTTTGGAGCTTTTTATACATTACAGTAATTGTTGCACTGTGAGGTTATACATAATGATTCAACTGTATCTCTGTTATTGGAATACAGGGAAGGAAAGAAGATATAATTATATACTCATATCTCTTTTTGAAAATAGGCTTAAAACTCTTTTAAAAATGGCATATGGCCTGCAAAATAGCTTGATTACTGGGGGCTTCTTTAGTCTGGAGTCTGGTTAGATTCAGTCACTGCACAAGTAAGAGTGTTGTTTATGTGTTTACAATAATTATATTACACCTGTATGTGCATTTGAGAAGGTTTACAATACAACTCAAAATCACTTTGGTTTCTCTCTCTCTCTCTCTTTTTTTTTTTTTGGTCTACTTCATATCCTAATGTGATCATAATGGCAACATTTAGGCATGCTTCAGTACAGAGTGCAGATGATTTGAGAAAGAAGAAAATAATGGAGGCACTGCATTTTACTTTTTTTTAAAGTAAACGAGCTTTTTCAATATTAGGGAAGGAAAAGGGCTATTATTGGTAAGGCATTAAAATTCAAATTTCCTGTAAAATAAAGTTTTCAGAGGTAATTATGCTTATATGCTTTATTGAAAATGAAAAATACTGCTGATTCCTAATCCTGTTACCACCATTTAAAATTGTCTATCTCTTGCTTGGCCTATTGTGTTGCCAACATTTGATCCTAACCAGGTATAACTTGAACACATAATTTGTAGGCCTGCTTTGGTTTATGAAGTGTAACTAAGAATATTTCTTTGCTTATTACAAATATTTCTATGTCTCTGTAATCATAATGAGACTATAAATTTGGGTTGGAACAATAACGTTTCTTCCCTGTAGCAATTCTGATTTTAATTCAGTGCTATTTGACCCTTCATGAAAAGAGCAGAGTCTGCAGATCGCTATGTTTGTATATTTTATAATAATTTTATTAAAGATCACATAATACAGATAAAACTAATACAAAATAGAAAAAATAGAAAAATAAAAATAGAAAAAATAAAAAGTGCAAAAAAGAAAGCATATTTAAACAAGAGGGAAGGAAGGAAGGAAGGCAGGCAGGAAGTTAGTTAGTTAGTTTCCCCTCTGTCCCAGCAAGTATAAACAACTTGAACAACTTATCACCATCTATCAGCCTTACCAGGTAGTCCAGACAGGAAACACGACCAGATGAGCTAATTCTACTTTATTGTAAGGCTACATTAACAGACTCTTGCAAGTCTGAAAGTACATTTCTCCCCGCTTCCTTTATACCCTGAGAAATTAGGGTCTCTTCTAAGCCTTTTGCCCTACCCACTAGTCATCTGCGAACTATGCTGTCTCTTATCTGATTGTTCCCTAGGCAGCGTCTCTGGACCCAGTCTCCCAAGGTCATTCCCAGATACCATTATACTATACCTTAAGATACAACAAAGAATCTCTTCATCCCATATCCTACCCCATTCTCCATAAACAAATCTCCAAAACCTCATCATCCATCCTAATGAGCAAAAGTCCATTAGGGGTTACCAGAAATAACAACCTATATATTATAAAGTTAATCTAATAAACCAACTTGAATTCCTTCCTTAAATTTATATCTCATTTTCTATCATTAAACAAATCTGCCAAACCTTATCCCAATCTAACCAGTAAAATCCAATAAAATTACCAGAGATAACTATTTTAACCTTAGTCAGATAAATTTAAAATACAGCAAATGAATTCTTTCCCATATAACTCTTATCTATAAACAAAACCTTAAAACATCATTATCCAGTCCTGGTCAGAAAAAAATCCGTTAAAGACTTCCAGACATAGCATCTATTTTAACCTTGGTCGTATAAACCAACTTTATATTCTTTCCCTTTGCTAGCAACAATGTTAATCTTTAGTCCCTTCAAATAGTGTCCAGTTCACTCGGTTTCTTTCCTTTTTCGGTTTGTCTCTTCTCACAAAATCGCTGACAGCATGAACAAATACCTTTTATAAATCCAATATACAGTGGTACCTCGGGTTACGATCTTAATCCTTTCCGTGACTCTGGTTGCAACCCGATTTGGTCGCAACCCGAAGCAAATTTTCCCATAAGGTTCAATGTAATTCCCGTTAATCCGTTCCGGCATCCGCGGACCACGCGGCAGGGCAGAAAAACGGCCGCGGACCACGCGGCAGGGCAGAAAAACGGCCGCGGACCACATGGAACGGGTGGAAAAATGGCCGCGGACCACGTGGCACAGGCGGAAAAATGGCCACAGACCACGTGGAACGGGCGGAAAATGGCCACTGACCACGTGTCACGGCAGAAAATGGCCGCGGATCCAGTTCGTAACCTGAGGTAAATTTTTGCAGCCAGAGCTGGTCGCAACCCAAAAAGTTCATTAGCAGAGGCGTTCGTAACCCGAGGTACCACTGTAGAAAGGTTGTCCAAGACACTCTTCTGGTTTCTCACAGAATCATCCAAAATACTCTTCTGGTCAATTATTTGCATGTCCATTTTAGTTATCAAAACATCAGCCAGTTTTGTTTGTATATTCAATATTTTATCTTTTTCCATATCCTCCTCATAGCCTGTCATTTTCAAGTCTACATCTGAATCAATTTCAGTCTTGTCCAGTAAATCTTGTTCCTCTTCTGTAGCACCATCTAATCTATCAATAATGGCAGAGATCTTTAAAACTAACTTCTGAGTCAGTTGTTCACAAATATCCATTATTAAAGGATTTATGTACAGTGGTACCTCGGGATACGAACTTAATCCGTTCCGTGACTCTGGGCGTATCCCGAGTTGGTCGTAACCCGAAGGAAATTTCCCCATAGGGTTCAATGTAAATCCGGTTAATCCCTTCCAAATGCAAAAACATGGATAGTTTCCCACAGGAAGGATTCTTATATTTAATTTCAGAATGTTATTAAATCCTTCCAAATGCAAAAACATGGATAGTTTCCCACAGGAAGGATTCTTATATTTAATTTCAGAATGTTATTAAATCAATGGCTCGTATCCCGAGGCGGAGTTCGCAAACCGAGGTAAAATTTTGGGGCCAGAGCTGGTCGTAACCCGAAAGATTCGCAAGCAGAGGCGTTCGTATCCCGAGGTATCACTGTATTTCCTTCTGGCGCCCTCTGGTGTCCAAACTTCAGAGTCCCATCTTATGTTTTTCTTCCAAATGCAAAAACATGGATAGTTTCCCACAGGAAGGATTCTTATATTTAATTTCAGAATGTTATTAAATCCATCTAGACTGTTAATCTGTTTATAACTTTCTAAAATCAACAATCTAATCACCCTTTTGCTGTTATTTCTGGGAAATTAAAAAAAAAATCTTTAAATTTGTATTTAAAACTTTTTTCATAAAGAATTGAAGGAAATTCACCCAGGGAATACCATAAAACTTGCCATTTTGGAGGTTCTCAATATTTAAAAAGCAATAAAAATTAGTTCCAAAGTGATTAAGAAGTGAGAATTGGCCAAAGCTTATGACCATAAAGGCTACATTATGCCTGTGAGCTTTGATTGAATCCCCAATTCCCAGCAGCTCAACTACCAACCAGATTGTAAAAACATTGGTTCCTGCTGTCTACTCACAAGGAGCTGCTGTTTGGAGGTTGTGCAGGCAATCTCATGATCTGTCCTTTGGAGATATTTTGACAGTCCAGATCCTACATACAGCCGTCATTTTCAGCCATAATGTCATCTCTCCTTCTTCAGGGACATCTTCAATTCACCATTTTCTCACCAGAAGTCCTGATTGCTATGTCTGGACAGTGGCTCCAGATGTGGAATCAGCTTTGAGTGACTGATAAACCAGGAGACCTCAGCAATTTTTTTCCAACATTTTCTGTGATCTTTGAAGCAAGTAAGACCTTTGCAAACTATTCCAAAATGGTGCCTGGGAATCTATATCAGATAATGTCCCAGAAGGATACCATAGGAATGTCTCAGATGTTCAGCACAACCAGCAAGAAAGTCTGTTCTTTGGAGTTGGTCATTCATCAGTGGGACTACATCTCCTTTTGCCCCAGATCCAGACTTGAACATTTGATAATATTTTTTTCTTACTATTTGCTTATGAATGTACAGTACAACATTTACATTTTACAAAATGAAAAATAAAATTTGTTTAGTTTCTTCAATCCTTCATAATCCAGTCCCAAATATTCTTTTTTCTTCTTCTGGGTGTAGTCTCTTGGAGAACCAGTTTGGTGTAGTGCTTAAGGCACCAGACTCGAAACTAGAAGACCATGAGTTCTAGTCCCACCTTAGGCACAAAGCCAGCTGGGTGACCTTGGGTTAATTACTCTCAGCTCTAGAAAGGAGGCAATGGCAACAATTTCTGAAACCTTGCCAAGAGAACTGCAGGTAGTTGTCCAGGCTGTCACCAGGAGTTAACACTAGCTCAAAGGCACCACTGAAAAAAAAGAAAAAGTCTCTTAAAACTCAGTTTTCCGTATAGGTACTTTACAGTCTTCTCATATTTTATATTGCTTTGAGGTAGAATGGTATCTCCTTTATAAGTGCACGCAAAACCTAATCCATTTTACATTATTTTAGATAATGACTTGGAACTCAGGGATTTAAAGAATTATAGCTCTTTGCAGTAGATAGTGTTCTCTGACCCATATGGTCTCATATAACCAGACTACATTTGTATTCAATTTTAAATTTATAGTGTACTCAGTTATATGTTTAACAGAGAATAAAATTGGTGTCCAGATTCTGTATTCATGGGGTTTTTAAAATATAATTCACAACATAAGCAAGTTATTTCCTAAATCAATTTAGAAATGTTAGTTTAGGCTGGAAATGGTCTATTCATATTCAGTTTTGAATATAAATGTTGAAACATACTATCCTTAATATATCAGTACTGTAACAGGATTTCAAACTAACTTTAAGAATATGTATTTCTACAGTGTCTTTATTGAGAAAATACAAACAGCGGCGCAAACCTTTCTTTAAAGAAAAGGATTATGATTAGTACTATCTCCTAATCCTTTTTTATTAAAAAAAAAATAGAGGTTTGTAGATGAGGATATACATGTCTATGAAAGGTTAATAGCAATTGCATAAAACTACTGTTATGTTTGGCTTTGTTAGAATGCATGGTCAGCCACTATGATAAATATATCTTATTTTTACTTTATTTCTCACATTATGTGGTAATAATACTGAGATGGGAAGAAGAGAATAGAGTTTCAAATATTTAAGAAATGTTACTGTTTCAATAGAAGATAATATAGGTAGTTCATGGTTGAACTGTGGAGTTCTTGGTGCTCTTTGAGTTTGGTTGTTTGCTTGCAAATGTTTCATTACCCAACTAGGTAACATAATCAGTGCAAGTGAGTGTGGATTTGCTCCCTGTTTGTGTACAATAGCTTGCCCTGCCAGTGCTGGTTGGGATATGGTTTTCTTCTTGGTAGCTCCTGATTAGGGTACTGATTAGGGTATTGTTTTCTGCTTGATTATTTGTCTGGTGTTAATCCCTGCTTATATGGGTGTTGGTTGCTGAAGGGGATGTGTTCTGGTCTTTTTTGTTTCCTTAGCTTTTTATGGTCTATTTTGAATGGTATATAAATATGGTTTATTTCTATGTGTTTATTGATGGCTGTTGTCTAAATGCCCAGGAACTCCCTAGCGTTTTTGGATTTGGCTTGGTCTAGGATGCTCAGAGTTTCCCAGTTGAAGCTGTGGTTGAATCTGTTCATTAAGATGATTAAGAATTAAGATGATTAAGATTTATTTCTCCCCACTTTTTTTTTTTTTTGGCATTCATTCTGGAAAATTATGCATTTTCTTCCTTTGTCCCCCTCTCCCCCCCTTTTCTTTCAGGAAAGGAAACTGAAAAAGCCAAAGATCGTTATGATAAAGCCACAATGAAACTCCACATGTTGCACAATCAATACGTGTTGGCACTGAAAGGAGCACAGTTACATCAGCACCAGTATTATGATGCTACACTGCCTTTGTTCCTTGACTCTTTACAGAAGATGCAAGAAGAAATGATTAAAGGACTGTAAGATGTAGTGTTTTGCTTCATAAAAACATATGTAGTCTGCCTATTTTATCATTTTACATTTTTAGAAACGAATAGCAGTGTCTAAGCTTATATATGTATTTCTAACTAGTACAAAAAATTTACAGGAATCCAAGTCAGGAGCAGTTTTCTGTAGTGTTTGAAACTTGGTATGTCAAGTACAAACCTCACTTATGAATCAACATCAGAGGATATTGATATTTCATCTTCTACAGAAAAATGGTGAATTACAACTAGAATTAGAATCTTTTCCAATACTGACCAAAGCCCTCATATGGGTACACCATTGTAGAAGGAATGCTTTTCATAGCTGGGACTTTCTGTTTTTCTTATACCAGTGAGAATAATTTAATTCTTCTCAGCTTCTAATTTATAATTTTAGTTTTGCTTTTTCTGTTGCCCTAGCTGCTATTTATTTTTGGTGGCAATTTTTGTCTGTCTATTTATCTATCTTAACTATTTAATTTTTCTGTTAAAGTACTTTTGGGTACATCATCTATGGGTCTTGGGGCAGCAATCATAAATGGGGTGAGGAATAAAAGGTTGAATGTCCTCAGGCTGGCAGTCTGTTACAGGGGAAGAGAGAATAGAAGTATATGGGTGGTTCTCTATCCTGGCAGCCTTGTGAGCTCTTAGGCCTTGGTTCCAGACCCTTAAAGAACCTGGTATTTTTTGTCTGTTGTACCAGATTGGTCCAAAATAAGACCGAGATCATCCACAATTTGATCATGGATGAGATAGCTGACTTGGCTTGTGTAACAGAGATCTGGCAGTGAGAGCCATGTGGGCCAGAACGGACCCTGCTCTTGTTGATAGTGTTGGAGGCTTCTAGCCCATTTGAAAGCTTATGCTATTGCAATATGTGTTGGAAAGAATAGTTTTTTTTTCCCTATACATATTGAATCTGCAAGTTTGCAGCCTGCTGAATTATTATGTGTGCATGATTGGGGGTGATTTCTATCCATGCCTAACATACTATTATATAATCCTCAGAGGATTGTTATAATCCTTTCAGTGAAATTTTTGTTGATAAAATCTTTCATATTCAGTTTGGAGTGGAGACCACCTTTGACATATAGTCAGCTATGGGGATGTCTAGGAACAACTTTTGTTATTTTATGACCAATTTCAGTTTCTGCCATATCTGGCATCATAGACAGGTTTTCTGAAGAGGTATGTTCTGCAATTTGTAGTCTGGATTCTTGTCTAACATGACCTGTGAGTTCTGACTGGGAGGTTATTCAGGATATTTAGTTAATATTATGGATGCCTCCCTGTTTAAAGGTGGCAGTTATTCTTAAGAAGCTTGTTCTGAATCTGTCAGAAATTTCAGGACAATCTCTGACCTACAGTGTGTGGGAAAGGTGGCTAAGATTGATGGCTTCTCAGTGCGGATAGCCCTGAGTTGGCTGTGGGTTTGAGAATGCCTTGGTCACATGATAAAGTATCCTTGTATGGGTGTTGAGACAATATGACTATTGGTTATTCTTGAAATGGGAACTGTTATATGGAATCCTTCAGAACTCTGTTGTATCTCTAGTGTTTGTTTAATACCTACATGAAAGTACACATAGAGATCATTGGGTGCTGTCAATATGCTGATGAAACCCAGCTATGCATGCCACTCACTATCAACTGTGATTGGAGCAGCCTATAAATAAATATATTTCTCTGTGATATCTTCAGGAAATGATTCCTGAATTTCTGTCTGTAGTCAGTAGTGGGCTGGATAAGGAATGACAAACTGAAACTGATCAGACAAGATGGAGTCACTTACTGTGAAGGACCATAATTCTAGAGCAGTGGTAGAGCTGTCTGTTCTGAATGGGATTACACTTTCCCAGAAGTGGCAAGTACACAACTTGTAAGTTTTTCTAGTTTTCTAGATCCAAGATTGTCTCCAGTTATCCAGGTTGAAGAAATATCCAGAAGTGACTTTTGTCAGCTTTGGTTGATACACCAAATATGTCTGTTTCTGGAAAATAATAACCATATAACTTTGCTACACTTGCTGGTAACCTACAAGTTTGACTATAGTTATGTAGTGTACATGCAGTTGTCTTTGTGTTTTGATTGGAAACTTCAGTTTGTACAAAATGAGGTAGCTAGGTTAGACCCTGGAAGAATGTGAATAGTCCATGTTACATCTGTGATTAAAGTATGGAAGTGGCTCCCAATCCATTTCCAAGCAAAATGCAAAGGGCTGATTATTAAAGCACTTCATGGCTTAGGTCAAGGTCACTGTATTTGAAAGAATCTCTCATTCTAAATGAATGTCTACAATTACTGAGATCATCTGGGGATATTTGCCTATAGTTGCCACAAGCCCATTGAGTAGCAACTCTGAAATGAGTGTTCTCTGTTTCTGCCCCAGCTGTTTAGAGCACACTACTAGCCAAATTGAGAGGCCTGACATCTTTATTAGCTTTTTTAAAGAGCCTTAAAATACATCATATTGTACAAACTGCTGATATTAACTGTTAAATTTAATTAGTTTGTTTAACTTCTTTGTGTTAATCACAAATTTAAATGTTTTTATGTCTTCATTTTAATTTCTTTTATTGTAAACACCTGAAACACTTTGATATAATCAGCAGTATACCAAATAAATAAATAATCTAAAAACAGATTATTGGGAATCTTTTAAGTAACAAAATTACCTTCTGGACTGTTATTGGCTATTCATATTATGTGATGGACTATGGTAGTCATCCTGTCTCTCTTTTTAGTATAACTGTTTCTGTAAAAATCTGAAATCAGATTATTCCCTATTCAAGCAAAGAATAAAATGCTAATAGATATTTTGAGACCATCACAGCTGTGCTTTAAAAAAAAGTTAATTGAAACCCGTATTTGCAATTACCAAAGCAGGAGACACCTTATTTTGTGACTGAAGTTCTTTTTATTTTGAGAATAAAAAATCATAGCATCCTTGCTTAGTCTCCTTACCTGTTCAGTGCTTTGAACTGTCTAGTGATTAACTTGTAACAGCAGAAGTTATGTTTCTTTGTTTGTTGGACTTGTTTATATGAAATAAAAGGATAGTTATTCTACCCTTGCCCCATATTTTTCCATTATATATTAAGAATTTTTTAAAACATTGGGTTCTTCAGAAACCATAAAGAGATACCGCTGACATTTTTAGGGCACTGGCTATCTTTCATGTTGGTGACCATGTTTATGTCTGGATTAATATCTCTTTCAAAATGTCTTGGAAAATGTCATGTTGCATGAACATAATGATGTATGTTGAGTACAATTGTATTCTTTCTCTCACATTTTTTCCAAGTCATTGTGTTGAAACTGCAGCAAGTCTCATAATTAGGATAGATGATACTGGGTAAATTACTTGAGTTAAGGGCTTATTCATTCATCTAGTTTCCCCTTCAGTGCAACAAAAACAACAGTCAGATGAGGAAAGATAAGGCAGATACTGTAGTTTCATTCAGTTCTTCATCTGTGGTCTGAAAAACAAGAGAAGAGAAATAGAGCAGGTTTAGCTGTACACTTGAACTATTTTTTCCAGTTCAAATAGAGGAAGAGAAGCTATATTCAGCAATGTGATGAAGAACAATTAAAAATAGGTGGATTACACTAACTAAAATACTGTGAAGTAACTGTTCCCTTGCCCACGATATCTAAAAGGTTCATTAATATTTGTAACTTTGAACAAGTGGGCATGATAATTATATTTGGAAGTTTCCCTCAAAATAGGAAATGTTTTAGACACTTTTAAAAATTGTTTATGATCTTGATTAAAATTGATATATGGGAAATGAGTGAAGTTTCTAGTGCGTAGAAACATAGTCCACAGCATTGGCCTAATAGTTTGGCCAATATTTATTTACTGTACTAATATCCTTTGGTATTCCTGGATCACCACTGGGGAAACAGCAGCATGTAGGTACATTCTACAATGGTTTTTGTAATCCCAAAAGTATTTGCAAATTCAGTAAGCACTGAAAGTATACCTTACTGTTGCTAATTCACACAATATGTTTGTCATGTAATGTGGGGAGAAAAAGCAAAAAACTTTTTTTTTTTTGGTTAATCCTCTGTTCTGGAAGCTATCTCATTCCATTTTCTAGAAAACAGATTTTTGTGTATCGACAAAAGATACACAGTTATGACTACCCCAAAATTTGTGACAGGTTGGTTATCTTGCTGGTGAGGTAAGGAAATAACAATAGGGGTGGTGTTTTGCAGAGAGAAAAAGAAAGAATGGTATTGAGACATAGTAGATCACAAAACTATCAACGAGAAGTATTAATGAGAGTTCAGCATAGGAAAACTAACTTAAATCTGTGAAATCAGTTTCTTATGCAGTGAAATGAATAAAAACTTTGGGAATATTAGATATGCAAGGTATAATAGGGATCATTTAATTTTTAGAGTCTCTGAACACATTTGGAATTTCAAAAGCATCTTTGAGGTACTCTCACAATATAACTGCCATGGGTGTTGGACTAGGAGCAGGAAGACCCAGGCTCTAGTCCACCTTCAGCCACAGAAACTCACTGGGTGATTTTGGGCCAGTCACTCTCTCTCAGCCGAACCCATCTTACAGGATTGCTGTTGTGGAGGAAAACAGGAAGAGGGAGCATTATGTACACTGCCTTGAGCTCCTGTAGAAAAGTTAGGATAAAAATCAAATCGTTCAGTCAATTAGTCCCATTTCCCAGGAGGCAAAGTGTTGAGAATTTTCTCCATCATTACCTTTCCAGGATACTACTACTCATTTTCCAGTGTATCTTTAACTTTTTCTTAATAGATGAGCATACCTTCTATCAAAGCACCGATCTGCAGTTATCCACCAGTTTTATTTTTTTAACAATGTATGGATCCATTGATACACTTGGAAGTAAACATTATGTGGAGCTGGCACTTTTCCATTGCAGATGTGAGCTTTTCATTTAAAACTATAGTAATATTTTTTTTTAATTGAGAGGTATGTAATGATGCCTTCACAGGCACTAAAGACTGTCCAAAAGGTAGACTCCTTAGCAGAAGTACTGAATTTTATAGAGAAAGATCCTGATGGAGCACAGGAGCAGTGCTTAGTCTATAAGACAAGTGATTAACTTTAATCTTACCCTTTCTGAAAGTTGCCATTCATCCCTGCTGGATTTGTGTGGAGATTTTTTCTCAGTGAGTCCTGACACCCTACTCTGATTTTTGAAGAGCTGCTACTTTGTTTTAAGTTACTTCCCTTTCTTTGTATGGCTTCATAAGAAAATCAAGGATACCTTGTTTATTCCTCTTGATATTGACTTTGTATTCCAGAGCCACATATCCTTCCATCATAGACTATATGCATAGAAACAGGCATCATGTAATTATGTGTACTGACAATTTTCCCTTTTTGAGCAAAAAACTTCTGGGTTAAAGAGGAGTAAGAGGGATAAAAGAAGAATTACATATTAAATCATCTCTCAATTCATCAGTATTCTTTAGAAAAAAATGGAACTAAGCAAAAACAAAAAAAAATACAATAAAACTATTGTTCAGATCTCTCTTATTTTTGTTCCTAAGGTTCTAACTAAGGTGAACACTTCCCTAAGAGTAAAGCGTATTAATTCATTTGGCCTTATGGATTAAGCCCCATAAGGTTACTAGATAATAGGTACTTGTGGGGAGATGAGCTCAAAACTCAAATCGAGTAGTTGAAATAAGAGTTTCATGAGAAATAGACTCCTTGTACTACCAAACATCCTGGTCATTTGAAGGGTCCTCTAATGCAGGCTCAGACTGGCATGCAAAAGTTTGGGGTACCACATTTTAAATAAAATTTAGAACAAGCTTGAGCAAGTACAGAGAAGGCCGGCCATCAAGGGTGATCATAGAACAGAAAATTAAGCCCTATGAAAAGAAGCTGAAAAAACTGGGAATATTCAATTTGGAGAATAGATAATAGCACTCTTTAGATACCTGAAAAGGCTGTTACAGAAGGCAGCCAATACTTACCTCTAACATCCTAGAAGGCAGGACGTGACCTAATAAATATGAGTTATAGTGAGGCAGTTTCTACTGAATGTTAAGAAAAATCTGTAACAATAAAAACAGTTTGGTACTGGAATATATTAAAGAGAGGAGTTCAAAAAGAGGCTGGACAACCATCTGTTGTAAATATATTAATTTCTTTTCCTGCACAGAACTGGATTGCATGCCTTTAAACCACCCTGATTCTATGTTCGTACTTTATAAGTTATTTAAAATACATTTTGAATTTGTTTTCTTAATAATTCCTGTTTTTCTTCAGGAAAGGAATCTTAGAAGAATACAGTCAGATCACCAGTCTTGTGACAGAAGAACTAGTGAATGTTCATAAAGAGATCCAGATGTCTGTTGAACAATTAGACCCTGGTTCAGAGTACAGTAGTTTCATAGAAGCTCACAGGTAAAATATTGGTGGTGGTAGTGTTTTATTGCACAGTAAGTATATTCTTAACAATGCAGCAGGTAGTGGCTGCACTTACAGAAGTAACTGCACATAATAGTAAAAGTGATTTGTGTGATTTAAATTGCCCAACTTTTACAAGTAGCTTTTTCACATAAATTATTTACATCAGATGCAGTAGTCTGTGTAGACAGTTAGATCTGTGCAGTACTCCTATAATTGTAATCTGCAGAAATTTCATCTTTTGATAACATTCTTCCTAGTTCTTGAGAGATTTAGCTATACGGGTGAGATTTTTCTTGCTTGACATAAGACTTACAGAAAGTTTTGGGGTTATGGTTACTGATGCATAGATTCTAAAAAAACGTGCAGGATGGCATGATTATTATTTGAAGCATTTTAACTTTAGCAGTTAAACAAAATTCACTATTTTTACATGTTTACTGTTTAAGGAAATAATTATTTTAAATATAAAATATATACCTCAAAGATACAATCTTATGTATGACTACTACATTTTTATTGCTTTACAGAATTTATTTTTTATTTTACAATTATAAAAGTGGTGTATGTGAAGAAAATCAGTTTTAATATAGAACGGGAAAACATTTCTAGCAAGAATGGGGTGCTCTATTTATTTATAATCATTTTAGAAGCAGTCTGGTTCTTTAATAATTCATTTCTTCTGCAGCTGCAATCCTATGCTAGAAATCTTTTTCTGTGATTGGAATTTCATAGAAGACGTAACAGAACTCTAATATACTAAAGCTGTAGAAAAATATACTGTGTGGCAGCTGGCTTCTTATAATTTAAAAAATCTAAATATGATCTATTCAAACAGGCTAAAGTGGAGGATTTTGATTATATATCCAGAACTATCATATTTTTGGAAAACCCATAGGTTCAGATTAGGGTGTTGATAAAAAATTAAGTGAGCAGAGAATATATGGTTGAAAAGACCATGACGAGATAGAACAAAGTACGGGGGGTGGGCGCGGGGGAGAAGAGAAATAAAATACAAGTAGATATTAAACATTTACATGGTATGGCCTAGTTAGGCCAGACAGTATAGTGTAACTGTAAAGTGGTATGCATTATTCAACTAATCTTAAATTATTATAACTTCCAGAGCCAAGTCTTAACTTATACTTAGCCTGCCTAGTACAGTGATCTCTGATGGAGGCTTGTTACTTACTCCAGGCACAAATTTAATAATGTCTTTTTTTCTCGGTGGTAATCTTATATCCATGCTGACATTAGCCAGAGGAATGTTAGTCCTAGGAGCTCATCAACAATTCTTTGAATAGGTTCTTAAAAAATTGCAGCCAGGCGGTTTTAAAAAAGAAATACCTTACATTTGTATTATTAAATATTTTACATAAACATTTGTTTTCCCTCACTAAAGGACATCAGATATTGAAAAACAAGAAATAGAGTTTGATACATCTTTATTGGAAGAAAATGAAAATCTTCAAGCTAATGAGATTATGTGGAATAATTTGACAGCTGAAAGTTTACAAACCATGTAAGTGATTTAGTTTCCTTTTTTCCCTTTCAACTTTGGCTATGTCAGGACATAAGAACTGTGTTGAATCAGATAAGATCTATGTAACATAAAATATTTTATGACAAAGATATAGCCACTCCTTGTCAGGCGCAGAACACTATATAAGAGAACTTTATCTAAATGAGATGGCAGCAACCAGTGATCTTTGCAGCATCTCTCTGTCTCAGTCACATGTTCACTTAGCAACCATTTCGCTTAACGATTGACTCATTGGAATGGAATGCAGTTGCTAAACAAGAAGGTGTATACAAAATAAAATATAAATTAAATTTGTTATGCTGTCCAAAATTATTTTGCTTTCATTACTTAGGTTTGCAGAAATGTGGATCTGTGTTTCTTTTCCAAGAATTCCATAAAAGGGTTGAGTAAGATTGTGGCTGGGTGATGACTAAGTTTAGAGAAGAAGAGAAGAATAATGACAGTGAAACCTCATTATAATGGGCCGCTTAAGGAGAGGGAGCCCTGTTACTCTCAGATGTCCATTAAATATAAAAGTATATCATCAGGACTATTTAGGGCATTTCATAATGATGTCATTATGCAAATGTCCCAAATTGTGTTGTTTGCATCAATTTATGTTTTTTGCATAATGGCCGCATTATGCAAATCATGTAAATTGATGTGGATATCATAAAATTAAGGTAAAATTAACATGAAGTTAACTGCTTTGTCCAAACTATTTCAGACAAAGTGGACATTTGAGAGAAAGGTCTGGATGAAATTTGGTGATTACACCTGAAGTCTGCTAAATGGGATTCTATTTAATCAAGATTTTACAACATCTGGAAAGAGAACTTTGAAGTGCAGTAATTTCCACTCATCAAGAAGAAGGTGTACCCATAGAGATGATGTGACAAAAACTGCATATAAAATTGCATCTAGACCTTTTACAGAGCCCAGTTCATTCCTCCTTAAAACTCTTTTCCACAAAGACTTGTGTGAAACTCCTTTATGGAGTGCAATTCAGTATTTATTCCAACTTCTTAAAGGCTGAGTCTGTTCAGTCCAAATTCCTATGAAATATTCTTCAAGTGCCTTGGTATGTTGCTAGGGCTGTTTTTTGAATGGAAGCATGACTGCTTAAAGTTGAAGCCAACACATAGATCAGCATCTTTAAATTTTGGCTAAATTTACTTTCCCTTGAAGCTTCACCCCATATATATTAGCTGACCCTTTTATCTCAAAATGGAAAAAACTTGGAGAGGAAGCTGCACCATTGTGTTTTCTCTCCTCATGCACTAATAACGATAAGGTATAACTTGGTTAGGAGGAACCTCAGACAATAAATATTTGATGTGGAGCATCAAATTGAGCACAGCCTTATTCTTACCGATATCTTCTTAGTCACTAGGTAGTACATCTGCTAGATATCTTAATCTGATCACCATATCAAAATTCTGAAGCGCTGTGACATTTGCTTACTCTAATTCTCTGCAAACTGCACCTCTGGAAGGGAGATTCCAGAAAATCCCAAATAATGAATGCCTTTGTCATTGTAAATCAGGAACCATTGAAACAACAACCCATGTGCTTCTTTACTGTCATTCCTATCAAAATCTGAAACACAAATTTATTACCTCTTTATTAACTCAATATCCAAACTGTCTGTTTTATCTTGATTATCTTTTAGCTCACAGAAGTGATATACTCTCTTACAATACACCATTGCCAAATTTTGTTTAATGGTCAGCAGGATTTGATAGGACCTTTGAGAGGAACAGTTTGACTTGATTAAACTTGCTCCAAATTTAGTAATAGTAATTACTATTAACTCTTCTATTTATCTATTTCTAGCTTTATTTACAATGGTCTCTTCACTGAAGCCTTAAGTGCTGATACCTTAGTGTTCAAAATCATGTGCTTGAACTAAGAAAATTTCAGCTGTGTTGGTCATGTTTCAATTTAAATTTTTATTACACTTTGTTTTATTTATCTTTTAATCATATTTTTTTTCTGTGTTTTATGTAAGGCTGGTTAAAGACTGAAATAAAGTACTTAGTGTGATAAATCTGCCTTTCTAAATGATATATGTGATTTATAACATATAACATTGTCTTCAGATTTTTAAACCAGGTATACAACTTAACATAAACATAATTGTATAAGCATATATATATAATCCCCTTCATGGATCACTGCCTTGTCGTGGCGAAGGGGCTTGCGTAACTCAGTG